TCGTGGCCGAGTTCGAGGCGGAGAAGCATGCCCAGGAGGAGGACGACGACGAAAAGGTCATTGACAATACCCTGCCGGGCTGGGGCAGCTGGGTGGGCGACGGAGTCTCTGCGCGGGAGAAGAAGAGGCACCAGGGCCGCTTCCTGACCAAGCAGGATGGCATCAAGAAGGATAAGCGCAAGGACGCCAAGCTCAAGAACGTCATCGTGAACGAGAGAATCATCAAGGTATGTTGTTGTTGCATCTCTAGCCGTAAAATTCCTACCGACTGGTATCATGGTCAAATCGGCTAACTCGTTCGACTCAGAAAAACAACAAGTACTTGGCCTCGCAACTGCCTCACACGTTCGAGAACACGGCGCAGTACGAACGTTCCCTGCGACTCCCCGTCGGCCCGGAGTGGGTCACCAAGAAGACGCACCAGGAAGCCGTCAAGCCAAAGGTCATTATCAAACAGGGCATCATTGCGCCTATGGCCAAGCCGCTGCACTAATGATGTGTGTGTGGTCTGTGATATCGAATGTGTACTCACAAATAGACAGAGGCGTAGAGGTTCCGACAAAGATCATAGAAGAGCGTCTCAATACAATGATGTGTATAAGAAATTCAGACTTGTTATCGTATTGGTGAACATCGGCTAATTACCCTACTAATCATGAAGATGCTGCCTGACTGATACACTCTAGGTAACTCTGGGTAATTCATAAGAGGCTGTAAATTATAAACATGATATATTGTGCGTTCATACTACACTATATACTTGCCAAGAATATGCAGTAAGGGAAACCCTCTTGACCTGTATTAGGTCAGCGTAAAAGTGCTACTGGCGCCTTCAAACGCCGTGATCCCTCCTCCGATCAAGTTCTTCCAGTCGCCGTAGTACTTGATACGGTAGGTGCCGGCGTCGGCATCGTCCACGCCTGTCTCCCAGCTGACGGTGACGTCGCTGTAGGCCAGGACGGTGTTGGTGCGGGTCCAGGTGTAGACGAGGGACCAGTCGCTGTCGTCGCGGACCTGGGTCCAGGCGTCGCCGTCGTCGAGCCTCTCGACGGCCGCGTAGGTGCCCTCGAGCCGCAGGTTGTTGCGCGGGTTGGCGCCGACAAAGGTGGCGTTGACGACGGCGCCGCGGGCGTACGAGGCCGCGGGCTGGCCGGTCGCGTCGCCGAACGAGGACCCGATGGGCGCCGCGTCGAAGACGACGCCCGTGATGAAGCTCAGCGAGTCGTCCCGGTTGTCGGGCGGGCTGGGCCCGGCCGGCGGCGACGACGTGGCCGAAGGCGACAGGTACCCGATGTTGCTGACCGTCAGGTTGATGTAGGCGTCGAGCTCGAACGGGCCGTACAGCGTCGACGCGCCCTCGTACCGCTGCACGCCGTACTCCTCGGTCGTGGCGACGTAGTGCGCGTACGTGTTGGCCGGGCCGCCCAGGACCACGACGGGCTCGGTGCCGTCCGTGATGATGTCGGCGGCGGCGTCCTTGACGGCGGCGCGCCACCGCCGGCCGGCCATGGTCGTGGCCTCGCTGGGGCTGACGATGATGACGAACTGGCCCACGCGCAGCAGCTGCACGTCGACCACGTTGGGGCTCCACGCGTACGGCACGTCCAGCTCGCCCACGTCCAGCAGCACCGGCTTGGCGCCCTGGCACGCCTTCTGCGCCGGCGACGGCGCCTTGAGCAGGCCGCTGACGATGGCCCAGATCGGGTTCGCGTTTGGGCTGCCCGAGTCGCCCTGCGTGAAGTCGAAGGCCCCCGGCCAGTCCGACGTGCCCGCGGCGAACGAGTACCCCAGCGCTGCCGGGCAGCTCTGCACGACGCTGCCGTTGGCCAGCGGGAACTCGTAATACGACATGTTCTGGTAGAAGTGGAACGACTTGACCGAAGTTCCCACGACGGGCGTGCCAGACGAAGAGAAGGAGTCCTGGGGATATTGCGTGAGTAGAAGTTTACAGATCTGGCACAAGTTGGTCTTACATAAACCGATTGGGCTCCTGCGTATTGGCGGCGTCCCATTTCATAGCAGCTCGTGACGCCCAGGTCGACGTTTTGGAATAAGGGACCGCGGCCGTGACAAGACTGTGATTTGCCGTCGGCGCAGGTGCTGTTCTCGTAGCTACACTGCTGTCCAGATCCGTCATCACACCTAACGATTACTGGTTAGGAATTCTATTTCTACACTGCAGACTTGTCCCAACTTACCAAGCACCCAAAACATTCGGCGTGGTATCACCGACGTTGGCCTGGGAGAACCCGGCCACGAAGTCGTCGGCGGCACTGTCGTCGGAGGCGATGTTCTTCTCGAACATGACGGCGGCGACGCCCTTGTTGTCGCCGGACACGTGCGTGTTGTTGCCGAGCATGGAGGTGCCGTGCACGGGGAACCAGGTCAGGATGCCAATGTTCTTGCTGTCCGAGGCGCGCTGGAACTTGAGCACCGTCATGGTCTTGTCCGTATCGTCCGAGTACTGCGCCCGCTCGGACTCGGGGTTGGCCATGTAGGCGTACAGGCTCCGGCTCAGGTTTCCATCGTCAATGTCGACGGTGCCTGGGGACGTGTTAAAATAGTCATATTTCACGCTCTTGTTATATGTTATTTACTGACCAAAATCAAGGTAACCCTTGTATAAATATCAGCACGAGTTACAAAATGTCCGCTGGAAGTCAAACATACCTCTTCAAGTGACTCGTGAGCACGCTGGATCGACAGCACAGTTCCGTCGACAATCGCCTGATAACTCTGCTTGTCGTATCCCAGACTGGTAATCTGGGGAAGCAGATAGTTGAACCAGGCACCGGGGCCAGAGTGGGAGTGCGTCCCCGTGAGGGCAATGTTGGACTGGCCGTAGACGGCGTAGTCGGAGCCGAGCGCGGCGACGCCCTCGAGGACGCCGAAGCGGATGGCCGTGTCGCCCGACTGCGTGTCGAGGATGACGTACACGAAGCGGTCGTCGGGGTTGCTCACGTCGCCGACGATGAAGGACCGCGCGTAGATGCGCTGCCGGATGCCCGTGCCCGTCTGCGCCGTGTCGGCGTACCCGGCAAAGTTGATCTCGACCGACGGCCCCGTGATGTCGGCCTTGCCGACGCCCAGCAGGTACTTGTCGCCGGTCCCCGTTGCGCGCGTCTTGCTGGCCAGGGGCGACGGCGACCCGTGGTGCTCCGCGGCGAGCTTGAACGCGCTGCTCCGGACCGGGCCGTTGAAGCTCGAGGCGGCGAACAGGGCCAGGATGAACAGCGAGACGGCCGTGATGGCTACGAATAGCGACCGCCTCGGTGCCCTTGGGCTATTGCCGTTGAGTTGCGAGTATCGTGCAGCCATGTCTGTTCGAGACTACTCTACTCAGGTGCTAGATATCAGATCAGTTTGCACAGGGAAGCTCTGTTCCCTTGCTAGAGATCGACAGAGAACCCTCAAGTCAAGCTTTTTATTCCAATAGCATCTGCCAGGATGGGAAAGGGGATACGACGACTATCTATCTCTTTGGGGATGGGCTGGACGTCTATCTTTTTCCCCCCTCTTGTTGAGTGCAACGTCGGCGGGTTGGGCTGGCTTCGCCGTTGACTTATCGTCTAGACCTGGAGGAATGCCTCTACACATTCATGTATCTATACAATCGCCGTGAGTCCCCTGGGGTGACTCTCGCTTGTGCTACACACACGCACACACGAGGTCACTGACCCGGGATCCGCTGCCAACAATGGCCGGCAGCAGGCCTCTGCTTGTGTCCCTTTGCAGGAAATCATGCTGGTCGCGGTTGGCAGGCTGGCCCCGTCCCCCAAATGCCCTGTTTTGGTCAACCAGAAAGTAAAAAGCTCTGCCACCTGAGCAGCACAAAGGAAAGGAAGACGCTGGCTGGGTTGCGCGCGAGCGTCGATCACATGCGCCCCCTGTCCACGGTAGTATTCGCCAGCTTGGCCCAGGGGTGGGCAAATCATATGGCACCGAGCTCTGAGCAGAAACGATGTCATTGCAGAGATGGTTGGATGGCAAGGTGTGTGTATCGTTCTTGGCATGGGGACGGCGGCATTGATGATAATAAAAGTATCCCCCCCAAGCGAAATGCGGGGAGAGACACCTCGGACGGGGTCATTTGCCCTGTCTTGCCAACGGTTGTCTCTCCTTGTGGTCAAGCCACGCCCACCTTCTTATTTCGAACGCGACGAATCATATACCGGGCGCGAAAGTCAAATTTCCGGACCCAAAGCAACTCGACCAAAGGAGAGAGGGTACAATACTAGAGCAGAGACATTTGTACACGGGATGCGGTGTTTCGGTATAGTATTACAACATGACTTGGATGAAATTGCTCTAAAGCAAATAGTATAAAAACGTTCCGAAAAGGAGTCTTTGTGCAAAAGCTCAAAATCATCTTTACCGAATTATCTGACTGTCAAGAGTCAAGACGAAATACCACCGACCTGTGAAGCCGGGGATGTCTTATCTTCCATGGGTCCGTGATAGTCGGGTGGAATTATTGATTCCGTTGAAGATAAAAGAAAAGCAGATTGCCCATGATCGAGATTAGGCACATGTCGATTTTTTGGCGCCCATGCTTCATTTGACGGAACGATAGTATGGCGAGTGTACGCAGATACCACGGTGACTAGCCCGGAATGTGTTCTATACCCGAACCTGAATCTGTGCTGAGTTGTCACGATTGGTGGCAGCAAGGGCCTGCAGCCAAGGAAGATCCGTCAAGATAGATATCAGAGCTGAGGCTTAGTTTAGATGATTGAAAGATAAGTCGCGTGCGAGCATGTTGACCGTATCTTCATATTTGACATGGGAAGATCAAGGCGGCAATGACGAAAAAAAAGTACTTGTCGATGTTGCAAAGTATGATCAGTCCGTGTGCTAATAAAGCAATGGCTTATCTCTGTGCCTGCCTCTATCATCCCCACAGAAAAGTTCTAAGCAATAAGAATGCGCCGCAAGCCCTTATCACTTTATAGTACATAATAACGAGGGATTTTCCAACAAGCGCCTAAGGCAGTTGATCCGGTCTGTTGGCAGAATTGGCATTGCGTCTGACTACGAGCGGCTTCTTCACGAGGTTGTAATCAGTTGACATCAGGAGATTCTGGGTTCGATCCCCAGGCAGACCTTCCTTTTTGGCCTTTTTAAGGCCATCATGATGTCCTCCTCGAACAGGGCTATTCTTTGAGCACCTGGGGGCCTCCCCACGACTTTTTGTTGATTTTTGATGACTTTCCGCGACTTGACCTGCTTTCTTGGCGTTTCTGAGGCCATCAGGATGTTCTTCTCGAGAGGGGCTATTTTTTGAGTACCTGGGGATGTATCCACGATTTCTGTTTGATTTTAGACGATTTTCCGCGACTTCAATTCATTTTCTTTTGCGACCGTGAAGGCATCGCGGGCAGATTTGCTATGTGCGGCCGGTTGGGACTAGTGGGGCCCACCCGGGAACACCCGAGCAAACCACTTGGCTGGGACAAACCTGAATCTGAAACTGGAAGTTGCTATTCAACATCACCAAGGGAAGGCACGTTGTTGTTTGGCAAGTAGGTGATGTCATGCAGAGAGCTGTTGATCTCACCTGCTGCCTTGCCCATCTTTGCTCAGCAACTTTCCCGATGGTAAATAAGTCCAGTCGTCTTCACCTTGACCACTGCGAATCACATCCTACACAAGCACTTTTATACACGACAGCGACTAAGAAAGTCTTGTATATTCTTTCGAGATTCTCGTCTGAGACATGTCTACGATACGGTGAGCGTGGTATTCGCCCTGAGATCAGCGCTCGAGCTGCCGACCAAGACGGAGAATTTGCCAGGCTCGACGACGTAGTTGTAGTTGAGATCCCACAGACCCAGGTCGCCGACCTTGAGCTCGATCTCGACCGTCTCGGTCTCGCCCGCAGCAATGGCCACCTTGGCGAAGCCCTTGAGCTGGATGTTGGGCACCACGACGGACGCGATCAGGTCCTTGACGTACAGCTGCACGACCTCGGATCCATCCCGGTCCGACCCATTCGTCACGTCCACGGATACGGTTATGGTGTCGCTCGACGATGCTGTTGACTGGGACAGGACCAGGTTGGTGTACTCAAAGGTGCTGTATGAGAGACCATAGCCAAACTGTGGGGAGCTCAGGTTAGTGGACAGTTTTAGACCCTTTCTGAGAGATGACTCAGGAATGTCACTTACCTCATACAGCGGAATAGGAGTCGACAGAGCATAGTTGCTACCAAACTTCATGGTGCCATTGGGGTACACCTCACCAGGGTTCGGCCAGGCGCGACCAGAGTTGAGGTAGTCGTAAAAGGCCGGGGCACTGCCAATATCGACGGGGAAGCCGACGGAGAGCTTGCCAGACGGATTGACATCGCCAAAGAGTACGTCGGCGAGAGCGTTGCCGCCCTGCTCCGACGGATAGAACTGCTGTACCAGCGCTGCGGCGTCGTCGCTGATCCACGGCTCCGTGATGGGTTTGCCCGAGCTGAACACGACAACTGTCGGCTTGCCTGTATTGATGATGGCTCGCACCAGCCCTGGCATGGCACCGACGAGGTGCAGGTCGTTGACGTCAATATGCTCGCCTGTCGTGGCGTTCAGGCCGGCCCACAGCTCGTTCTGGTCTCGCGACCAACTGGCATACATGCTCGCTTAGTACGGAAGTTCGAGGGTTGGGTGAAGAGAAGTGGACACCACTTACGTGCCGACGACGACAACAGCAACATCGGCTGCTTCTGCGGCCGCAACGGCTTCGTCAAAGCCTGACTCATCCGACGACCAACGCTCAGCTCCCTGAGTGAAGGTGACAGTTCCTGTGCTGGCGTTCTTGATGCCGTCGTAGGGCGTCACTCCCCTCAGAGATGCCTGGTATGGCACGTAGTCACCGTACTAGGTTGTTATTGTCAGCAACGATCCCGCGGGAAATACGAGAGACTTGACTCACGTTCATATAGCCATGGCCCATGGGTCCAATCACAGCAATGTTGGCAGACTTGCTGAGTGGCAGTACGCTTTCGTGGTTCTCGAGCAACACGATGGATTCAGCGTCCAGCTGTCGGGCAATGGCGATCGTCTCGGGGGTGTTGATATAGTTGGCCTGCTCATCGGCCGGCACACCGGCGTACGGCTTCTCAAAGAGGCCAATCTTGAACTTGGCCCTCAGCGTCCTCCGTACGGCTTCGTCAACGATATCAGCAGAGAGCTTGCCGGATGCGACCATGTCGGGAATTAGCTCGTAGTTGTAAGATCCACCGCCCATTTCCACGTCAGTGCCGGCTGGGAGGGCCTAGTTTACATGCGTTAGCGATCTCTATCTTCATAATGCGTCATGACTATCGGCAAGTCTCACAAAGTTAACCACAGCCTCGGAGTCGATTGGGTCGCTTTCGCACATGAAGAATGCGCCGCAGAGACGATCTGTGCCGCCAGCGTCGCTCATGACCTGTCACATCTTGTCAGCATATTTCCGGCCGGGCTATTCGCAGCTCAACACTCACAAAGTAATCATAACCCCACTGATCTCTCAGAATATCAGATAGGATATACTTGTCGGCAACTGCCGGTACTCCATCGTACGCGTGGTAGGCGGCCATAATCGACAGAGCCTCTCCATCGATGATGGCTCTCTTGAACGAAGGCAGGTATGTCGTCAAGAGCTCACGCTTGCCGCCGTGGACCGGGCCGGTATTGATGCCCTGCTCAGGCGTCGCAAATGCCGCCTTCTTGTGGTTAGGATGGGATCTAGAACTTGGACAACCCAGGGCAACTCACAAAGTGCTTGACCATGGCTGCGACTCCACCAGACTGGAGCCCTTTGACAAAGGAGTAAGCGATCTCGCCAGTCCTAAGATGTATTGAGTATTGGCTCTTGAAATGATCTACTTCACCACTTACAGGTGAGGGTCCTCTCCAAACGTCTCCTCGACTCGACCGAAGCGCAATTCACGCGCAAGATCTGCCAGCGGCGCAAAAATGTTGTTCACTCCCAAAGCGAGCGATTCTTGAGCAATGGCGACGGCCATCTTCTCGACCAGATCGGGATTAAACGAGCAAGCATACGCAATGGGCGAGTTGAAAATGGTGCCATTGGGGATGAGGAATCCGTGGATTCCCTCGCTCTGCACCCATGGGGGTATGCCGAGGCTCGTGTTCTGCATTGCGTAGTCCTGGCCGATCTTAATATTATCGCTGAGGAGCTCCCATGAGATCGGTACTCCGACGTAGTAGGATCCTCCACGGTACTGTGTGCTCCATTCTAGCCCAGTCTTGTTGAAGCTGCCGTCGGTAATGTTGAGCCAGTTTCGGATATCTCCCTGAACCAACTGTGAAGTCTTCTCCTCAATGGTCATCCGAGACAGGAGATCCTCGACACGGTCTTCAATGGCTGCGCTGGCATCCTTATACAGAGGTTGTGTGCCGTTGCTGGTGCCATTGCCGGAACTATACTGGGCATACACCTGCGCCAGAAACAGCGAGATGGACAAAGCCAGTGAGCGCAACATCTTGATTACACGACAGCGAGGCGAATCCAAGAGGCAGCGAAACTCGAGCACAAAGTCACTCCGGAACGTCGCACAAACCGGGAGACCGCTCACGAAATATATCAGTTTTATAGCCTAGTCATCTGCCCACCTCCAGAAGACTGCCCTACGGCCCGGATGTCAGCATCTACTCCGCATCTGCCAGGGCATGGCACAATCTATACCAGGGAAATTAACGAATCTCGGCGAAGAATTGGTGATGATGATGTCGTGCGTATAGACCGAGGGTCTGCTCGCATAGCCGAACCACGCGGCTGGATAGCATAACTACAGAAAAGCGACCAGGAGAACAGGCCCGGCTACCCTCTAGTCACCTCTTCACGTCGTCAGGGACCAAAATGCCCAAGGCGATGTCATGGACTCGGTGTCCTCAGCTTCAACTTTTCATCTACAATGAGGAGAAAAGTTGGAGATCAAGACGTCTGGGGAAGCGAGGTTGGAGAAGTCGTGGGGAAATACCCTGCAATGTATCCGATTGGTGGAATGGTGACAACCGACCAAGCTGCTCATTACAATGTTGATTTCTCCGATTACCGACAACACTGACAGAAAACAGTCCCTATAGGGATACCTCGGATGGTCCTTGGCATTGGAGCCGTTCCAATGGCATTTCGAGCTGGAAAAATATTGCAGGCTCGCAACTGCTCATTCCCCATAATTTGTTCAACCTAGCTTCTTGCATCGCATGTGCTGATGCATGCACGGAATCTAAACAGCTCGAGTGGACCGAAAGACCAAAGATCATCTCAGTCCACGAATATGACTTGTCCAATCGCCCCTCTCTCGCCTACGCGGGCCGCATTCCGACTTGGTGTAGCCCACAGCGCAGATACGATGTTGGACCAAACAAGAGCTCGACCCGAATGAGGGACAGCTATCGTGAGATCTCAAAGACCTAGAGTTCAATTGCTCGACTAGCTATAATTCTCTGTCCTAAGCGAGCTGGGGTCCTCTAAACTTCACAATCTTCCGTCAAATCGACCACGACCGCAGACGAACTCACAAAATCACCAAGCACACCAAGAAGCTGGTGAAAACTGTGATCATGAAGTTCCGTGATGGCATGTGGCTCCCTGCAGAGGGCATACAGACCGAGTATGCAGAAGAAGTCTACGAGATCGCTGAAAAGGAAAACCGATTGAGTCTTTTGTGTCCGACGAGGAAGATCTTTTCTCGTGGTGATACCCTGAATCGCAGCACCTTGACAGTTGTAAGTATATCAACGCAGTGCAATTCATATCACAAAAGGACGATTTCGATGCTGACTTTGTAAAACCAGGACATTGAGGCTGCCTTTGACGGCGTCATATCGGTCGAGACCACTCATTGGGCTGGTGCCGCGAGACGAGGACCTGGCTTTGATCTATACCCTGATGGCAAACCAATTGTCGAGGCCAAAGTGACCAAGAGTGACAAGGGCACCATTTTCTCATCCGGCTCATTGTCTGCCACCATCAGCGCCGAAAAGCATAGCTTCGACATAAAATTCCACAGCACGGATGGGTCTAAGCAGCTTACGTCACTCCTGAGCAGGAGTGTTGGCCTAGCCTTCAACCCGGCGACGAGCAACCAGATGCAGACGGGAGATAT